TCGTCAAAAAATCCGGAAAAAATCCGAACAAATCCGGAAAATCCAACAGATTTTCTCTTCAAAAATCCGCTAAAAATCCGCTAAAAAATCCGCGGATTATTAAAAATCCGAAAATCCCGTACGCTTCGTCAAAAAATCCGGAAAAAATCGGAACAAATCCGGAAAATCCAGACAAACCCGGAAAATCCAAGAGATTTTTTCTTCAAAAATCCGCAAAAAAATCCGGGAAAAATCCGCTAAAAAATCCGGGGATTTTAAATCGAAAATCCCGTACGCTTTTTTGGAGTGAAATGCCCCTCGACTTCCTACGCTGCCAGGAACTGTTCAAACTCATTATACATGGACAAAAAGACGATATTTTACAGTAATAAAGAGAAAATATAATAAATACCTGTCGAAGATAGTTTTGTATTGTTTGATAGTAACCGTTTTCGTGCTGTCACAGTCCTTTTCTGACAATTATTTGAACAATTTGTCTTTGTTTCAAAAAGCGAATTCCATTTTGTTTTTGCTTCCGAATTTTCGCGCGCTTTTTAACAACCTGCCGACCGCGCTGGGGCTTGGGTTCTACAGAGGGCATTACAGGGCAATAATCTTTGTTTGATCAGTCCAATAAAACAATTATTGCACGCTGATTACGTCAGCAGCGGGAAAGAACGTGGCAGCTACCGAATATTGGGGACTACTGAAAGATTGTTAGCGTTTCTGCCGGATGTACAGACTCTATACCGTAGGCTTTACTCTCACAAACGAGAATACAGTTTGAATGTATAATTAGCATTATTTTCCCATTCTGATAACTGCAGGTTGACCCCCATCTGTGCTTAATACCTCACACTTATCATATGCAACTTTGATAATAGATTGTATTCATTTGTGGATTACATCAATGTATCAATAGACATATTGCTACCCAATTCATAATTTTAGGATGCCTGGTTACTATTGTTGACAACTTGCTACAAGGTTGTTGAGCTCAACAGACTTGTTACAAGTTGTTCCAACAACTTGTTATCGTCCTGCAATTCAACAATTTGTCAACAAGTTTGTGAGTGACAACCTTGTAGCAACTTGATAAAATAACAGCATTGTTACAACTTGTTGACAAGTTTGCTACAAGGTTGTTGAGTTCAACAGACTTGTTACAACTTGTTAACAAGCTTGCTACAAGCCTGTTGCGAACACATCTTGTTGAAAAGTTACGAAGTTTGCGAGTTCTCGAAATTTGTGAATAGGGTATAAATAAACACTACATTTGTCTATCATATTAATTTTATCGATGTTACCGTGCTATATATCTCATAAAAATATGTTGCCCAAGACAAATACTCCCTAAAATGATTGCTGTGCACCTATACTTCATGTAATCAACAATGTGTGTTCTCAGGCTGGACCAAGGACTCACATGATTGGTAAGGCGGGGACGCAGGTTCCCAAGGCGTTTCTTGGGTTGCCTGTACTTCGCTCTTACGTAAGCACAAGCGAGCCACGTGATTTTCACGCTTTATTTTCACCTCCAGTGATTTTGGCACATCCGGGACCAGCCAGGCGAGCAGATCTTTGACAAGAAATACGATATACTGGAAAAATAAGACGAAAAGTACGCGAGCCAGGGTGACGTGGAGATAGTGTTTACTGTAGTCGTAGGGAGGATACGGCTCCAGATATTCTTTGAATCTGAAACAAAATAAATTTTGCGTTTAATTGTTCACAGAAGACTACACACGCCAGAATCTCACATCTTGCAGCAAGTTTGCCAACCCGCCGTCAACAAATTGTGTTCGCACTATTTGTCCCGAGTTGTCAACGAATATGGAACAATTTGTTAACAGTTGTAACAATCTTGTTGATATTGGTTGTTCCAACAAGTCCGATATAACAATATTGTCATAACCTTGTATTGTCAACCTTGTGACATTCTTGTTATGACTTGTCATATCATGACTGTATCAGACTTGTTGGAACAACATTCTAACAAGTCTGATAATGTCATCAAGCTTGTTACAAGTTGTTAACAACTTGTTCCAAACTTGTTACAACAACTAGGAACAAGCAGTGTGAACACAACTTGTCGATAGCTTGTGAACAGATTTGTAACAACCTGTTTGCAGACCTGTAACAAGTTGTTTGCAGACCTGTAACAACTTGTTTGCAGACCTGTAACAACTTGTTTGCAGACCTGTAACAACTTGTTTGCAGACCTGTAACAACCTGTTTGCAGACCTGTAACAACTTGTTTGCAGACCTGTAACAACTTGTTTGCAGACCTGTAACAACTTGTTTGCAGACCTGTAACAACTTGTTTGCAGACCTGTAACAACCTGTTTGCAGACCTGTAACAACCTGTTTGCAGACCTGTAACAACTTGTTTGCAGACCTGTAACAACTTGTTTGCAGACCTGTAACAACTTGTTTGCAGACCTGTAACAACTTGTTTGCAGACCTGTAACAACTTGTTTGCAGACCTGTAACAACTTGTTTGCAGACCTGTAACAACTTGTTTGCAGACCTGTAACAACTTGTTTGCAGACCTGTAACAACTTGTTTGCAGACCTGTAACAACCTGTTTGCAGACCTGTAACAACCTGTTTGCAGACCTGTAACAACTTGTTTGCAGACCTGTAACAACTTGTTTGCAGACCTGTAACAACTTGTTTGCAGACCTGTAACAACTTGTTTGCAGACCTGTAACAACTTGTTTGCAGACCTGTAACAACTTGTTTGCAGACCTGTAACAACATGTTTGCAGACCTGTAACAACTTGTTTGCAGACCTGTAACAACTTATTTCGTGTGCAACAGCATTACCTGCAATAGGGCAGAGTGTAGTTGAGGTTTTTAAGCGGATCATTGGGTACACTATGTTGTTCCAAGTCAGAGACATTGATATACGCCAGCGACTCATTGATATATCCTTTCAATGTTCCGTCAGGACTGTAGCCATACATATACACCAACCTAAACAATAAAATGATTAAGATAGAAATTATTTATGTCATACCCCAATAAATCATATGCTTAATTACAAAATTATTAACACCGTCATAACTTTTACCCACTGATGTTCATGAAATACTGATGTTCATGAAATCCCACAGGGATTGATTACTGCGGGTGGGGCGGTGCACCCCTAGTCCTGGCCAGAGGGTGTGGAGGGGGGAAGGGTGGCTATTTTTAATGACAAAGCAAAACATATCAGAGACAAAAAGAGATATAGTAATTTGAGTAATAACATGATAAGCGAACTGTTAACAACAATTACAATTTAAATACAGTAGTCAAGCAAGACTTTGCAGTAGTCAAGTCATTATTTAGTAAAGTATTTAATATATATTTTTTAAAAATTGTCTTGTATTAGTTGTTACATTATTAGGCAGTAGATCAGCTCTTACCTTGGTACAAAATCAGTTGTGAAAGCGATCACAAAGGAATTGACAAGCACGGAAATTTTGGTCAAAATCTCAAGAATCCCGAACCATACTCCGATATTTTTCACTTCTTCTGCCACTGGGCGTCGAAAATTCACTGCAAAGTTCGTGGCATCGGCACGGAGCTCGAAAATGTTGTTTAACAAAGCAAACAGAGGAGCCAATGGGAACGACGCAACGAACATTGTAACAAAACCAAACTGAATAACTGCAAAAGAAATGAGACGTTCTTCTATCAATGGAATGAGCAATGGGATGGTAAAGGCACACGTTAAATACGCGCAATTGTTACAGATTTGTAAACAAGTTGTAACAAGGTTGTTGTAAAGCAGATATCAGGATGTGTTCGTCCGCAGTTGTTGTGACAAGTCTGGAACAAGTTGTTATCACCTTGTTACAAGGTTGATGACGGTAACAGACTTGCTACAAGTTGTTTCAACAAGACTAATACAGGCTGTTCGTAACAAGTTGCTACGACTTGTTGTCATCAAATTTGTTACGTGCAGACGATATCAGACTTGTTGGAAGAACGTGTTGCGAGTCTGTTGGCCTCATCAACCTCGTTACAAGATGATAACAACTTGTTCCAGACTTGTCAACAACTGGGAACAAGCAGTGCGAACACATCTTGTCGATAAGCTGTGAGATTTACGCGTGGTTATTACATAAACGTACCCATTTCAAGATATTCGTAGAACATTCTAAAATCTGGTTCAGGATTAAGTAAATAGTCAGACTCCCATTGTGGCAATTTCTTATTTTCTTCCGTCGGTTTGTGACGCCATTTGTTCCATGCGCGAACTGCAGACCTGGGAAAGAAGAAATACAGTTAATGCCTCTGGCTTTCAGATAGAACTTGAAGACAAATGCAAAACTTTAGGAAACGTTTATGGCTGAGGGTGGCATCGAAGAGGAGGCTTGGGTAAACAAAATTTTGAGTGAGTAAAAGGTTGGTGTAAATGAAAAAACAAAACTCAAGGATTGGGTGTCATTTCCAAAGCATGACTCATTCAAATATTGAAGACTGAAAAGCATTGTCAACAGTTATATATCAATACAATATGTAAATCAATCAATCAATCAATCAGAGTCACTATCCCGATTTGTCAGGAGGCAAATGGTGTCTCCAAAGAAAGTACATATGCGAACTACATGAAACTTTAGTAAAGGCCATGTGTGACAACTGAATGGTATCCTTTTATAAAGTTTTTGCCCAGGGGTGTGTATTTATTTTTCAATTGATATTTAAGGTTGGGTAGAATGTTTTTGACCTTTGGTTGGACCAGCAAAATTTTAACAAGAAAAACCTTTCTCTTCGGTGACACGCCCCCCCCCCCCACGCCATAAATAACGACTGCTCCCCGATGTATCAATAGTTAGTTTACTCACGGCCACATAAACTCCAATGCAAAACCCAAAATTTGTTTCCCAATCATAATAACAGCAAGTTGTATGCACAGATCAATCAAACATCCAGAGGGATCGCATCCTTCGATTCGACTATCTCTCATTCGATTGTACTCGGTCGGTTTTCCGATGATCAAACTGCTTTTGAAAAACGCGATGTAGAAAAGCGAGGAATACGTGTTCACGAACTCGAAAACGTACATCTTAAACGTGAGCGCGTTTTGGTACTCGGATTTCGTGCGCGGATTTTCCCAGTTGGTGAGAATGACAGCAAGTTTCACGTAAACGAAACTCAGAATCTTGATGAAAACCAGGTTCATGATTGCAGCTGTGAATGAAATGACTAGCTTGGCATTTTGACGAATGTCGTGGTTGGAATTCGCATACAATGCGGCCAATGTGGTCGCTCTGTAGATGACGATGCCCGCGATAGAGGCGATTACAACCGAACCCATAAAAAATATAACCCCTAGGCCACCCAGAGTGCGTTTAAACCGCGTCCAACTTGGGATATACGGTTCTTCCTTGTCTGTTACTGGGTTTGGACGTTTGTCTTTCACAGACAATAAGAATTGTGGACGTGGTGGTTCGTATTCGTCTATTAAGTTATAAACACCCCATTCGTAGCTCAGTCGGACTTGGGTACGCTTCCAGATTTCTAAAAATAACGTCGCCCATATGGACATGAACACGGAGAAAAACACGGTCGCTCCGTTGTCAAAAAGATGGCCAACTTTAGCGTAATCACAACTTGTGCTGAGACTCCAGAAACTGCAATATTTGTCACATTTTGGACACATGTAGAATAATTTCTCGTTCTTTTTGTCACATATATCTTTGGTCGGTTGGAAAGTGTTTAAACTTCCTATACCATAGATGAAGCATAGCACACCCACAAAGGCTGCCGGGACAAGCATTGCGATGTAAACTCCAAGCCATGCGTAGTAGAATCCAATTCTCCCGCCAAAATATCTCCGCACCGCGTTGATTGGCTGATATTTGAATAATCGTCGGAAAGATGACCAATCAGTACGAAGCTTCTGTCGATCGTTTGCCACGTGATCGCCTTTCTGAACAGACGGCCCGTCATGCAATGGGTAGCAAGCAGTGAAGATTTCGTCATCACATAAACTAACAATGCCAGAGTCATTCACTTCCGACCCAAATGGCGTCATCTGGAGGATGCGATACACCATACGACAGCGGTCAGCGGTATCGAAAAACAATCTCCCGTTTTTCGACTGAAACGATAGGCGATTACTATAACTAAAGGTGGCTGTGACAAGTTTTTCCGTTTGTGGGATGCATGGGGAGCTGTTCACAAACGGATCTACACTTTCCCACCAGCGTGAGAATCTACGGTAAATGTTTGGCCGCTTCGTCTTTTTTGGCGACAGGTCTGGCGAATCATCGGATTTTTTGACAGGCATTCGTATCATGAGTTCTTCCGCAAGCTTGAATAAAGTTTTGAGAGGTGCGTGAACTTTGACGAAATGGAGATTTTCCTTCTAAACAAAGAAACAAAAATTGCTGTGAAGATCTGTTGAAGGGCGTAAAGAAAGCTTTGTCAGTTCTAAACTGTTCTCACTAGATGTTCTGTACGAGTTAGTCTATATCGATCTAGTGTTCCTATCAGGAGGCAGCCCAAACTAACTTTATTTGTACTGTATTGTACTGAATAGCTCTTATAAGTCATGTATGTCCAGTAAGAGTCATTCCTTAATATGTTCCACTGTTATTGCATGAGGAAACCTAAAGTAAATTTATTTAAAAATCAGTTCTAAACTATTCTTCCTGGAGGTCCAATAAAAGTAATTTTCACAGTCATTAATTTTAATACTAAATGAGGAAACGTGAATACTGGGAAAATCCGGCAGCGTTTATTTTTGTATTTAAACTATTATGGGGAAGGAATCCATGGGAAGACTTTGCAAGTTATTTCCTCATTTTAAAGATTTCATTTTGTGGCTCCTGCCGTGTCATGTTTAAACGTTAAACAAGCCAGATGTCGGCGGTCTGCCAGTGTAGCTAGCGACGGTTTGTTTGGACAGCTGTGGATTCAAAGAGATCAGTTGAAAAACACAGGCTGAACTGAAACGTTTCGAACGAACGTTCTGTGAAGTGGTCCGGAAGTGATCTTGACTTCATTAACTGAAAACGTCACGTACTAACTTCACGACAAAGCGCCTTCGCTCGAAACATCGAAGTTCTCCTTGTATTTTTCAGGTAGTTGCATCCCTATCAATCCCAAGCTTTCTTGCCTAAATAAAGTTGAATCAATCAATCCTGCTTTTATGATTTTTTTGTTCATAATCAGCGAAGTGAAGACGTTCTAGTTGACAGCACCCCACAATATACAACTGAGACGTGAAGGAAGCCGACACTGCAGCGTACTTGGATATATTTGTGTTTCTACCAAGAGCACGTGCTGTTTGCAATGATTTCGTATCCGCAAGGGGTAAAATTGGCTAAATGTTTGGAATAAAAATGATAATAATAATATTACCCATAATTAGAGTAATTATTTCTATTTTCCAACAACTGCGATAAAATCGATAGTATAATTGATAAGGCAGAAACGCATTTTGACGGAACAAAATTATTGTAACAAACGTATCTAAATGTGACAATGAAAATGCAACGTTCAAATGCAATAGCTCAAGGTAGCAATTTTAACTTAATTGCGTTAATTCCTAACAGCCGGCCTATAAAACTCCGGTCAGACGAGAGTTGAGAAGCGAGAGTTTGCATGAGAGTTTTCTCATCTCTCATGCCCCGGTCAAACGAGAACAAGAGTTGCATGAGAGTTGAGAAGCGAGAGTTTGCATGAGAGTTTTCTCAACTCTCATGCCCCGGTCAAACTAGAATAAGAGGTTGCATGAGACTGAGAGTTGATGAGAGTTGAGAAGCTCAAAAGCGAGAGTTTGCACGAGAGTTTTCTCAACTCTCATGCCCCAGTCCAACGAGAACAAGAGTTGCATGAGAGTTGATGAGAATTGAGAAGCGAGAGTTTGCACGAGAGTTTCATCAACTCTCATTCCCCGGTCAAACAAGAACAAGAGTTCCATGAGAGTTGACAAGAGTTGAGAAGCGAGAGTTTGCATGAGAGTTCTCAACCATGTTCAAAGTCGATGAGAGTCTCCCATCGTCATTTGCCGAGGCTTGATCCTGTATGTTAAACGCACGTGGAATATAAAGTGCCACTTGAGGTTGTGTTGGTCCAAACAGTCGGAAATAAAGTCAAGATTTAATAAAAAGCATTCGACAGGTCAATAATCAAAAACTATATATAGAATCAAAACCAGACCCCAAGTAAGATCCAAACTTATAGACGAATAAAGACGCAGAATACTTCAGAATTGTGATGCTTCTGGCTTTTAATAAGTTTGTAGTGTAGACGTTCGCTTTACACATATTTGAACGCTTCTGGCTTAGCCCTTAATTTAAACTAAGGCAGTGTTTCAAATAGTTTTGAAAATGATTTGACCTCTTACAGCGGGGTAGCCGTAACATATTCAAGACGCTAAAACTAAAAAAAGCCAAAGGGAGGATTTTAATATCTTATTATGTCTAAACGATTTAACCCCGTAGACACCATTGTATCCGAATGCCAGATTACTTCGAATGATTTGACCGCCAATTTAACAGGGAATGATTTACGCCATAACATTTGACCTCCAATTTTACTGCGTCCAACATGTGATAATCAGTTCACTCCGTCTATCGCAAGACGATTTTACTTATCAATAAGTGATGTGGGAGAATTTTTACAATACAACAACATACAATAAACGGTGACTAGAAAATCTAAAGCGACTAAAGCCTGATTTACACGATGAAAGTTTGTGTGACCACAGTAGAAATTTTGCATAGGTAAATTCTAAGTTTTGTAGGATTCGTAAGAAATGTTTGAGGGAACTTTACTGAGTGTTGAACAGTGAATCAGTCCCCTCAAACATTTCTTACAAATTATTCACAACTTAAAATTGACCTATGCAGAATTCTTACTGTGATCACAGAAACTTTGATAGTGTAAACCAAGGGATAGTTGAGCTGGATACACGAGATAACCTCTTGCATGCGAAACCCGTAATTCGTTGACATTGACGGATTATGTATACGGTCTACTAGTACATTGCATGTCAAAATTGCTAACCTTATTTACGTGTGCAATCACTAACTGTCACTGATCTGATAATAAAACCACAGTACCTGAAGTGATATTTCTTCTTCCAATTCCAGACCATGTTTAATCAAGTTATCCTGATAAATCTTGCGTGTGGCGGCGTTCTTATCATCTTCATCGCCGCTGCTTTCGTAAACCAAAACAAAATCAATTTTTCTTTGTCCATCACGGAAGAACAAGCTCTCTGGATACGGGGATTGCCTTCCACCCAAATCCTGCACCAACAGTTCAATATTCTCGTGGCCCGAATCTCGACCGTTCTCCGAGTTTATGAGGCCGTCCGATGAAGGCCACATCTTCTTGCCTTGTGGGGCAGTCTGGTTTTCTGAACTGCCTGCTTGTGATTGTTCATCGTTCTTTTTACTTCCGTCGGAAGTCGGGTTATTGTCCATGTTAATAATTAACTCTAAAAGAGATATGTGACTAATTAGTCATTCATGAAATAATTAAACTATACAGTAGGGAGCTTAAACAAGCGACATTTTGTCAACACAGACGTCAAGATTGCCGGGGGGGGGGGGGGGGGGGGGACTGGATTAAAAACTGTGTTTGTGTCAGTTTGTGGTAGTCAACACATATGACAAAACGAAAGATTTCCAAAGATTCCTCCAAGATTAGTTTAGCAATTTTCGGGTGACTTCCGTTGTTGGCAAGAACGACGCTTGTTTGGCGTGCAGTGCTAGACTGCTCTGGATATAATCCTTTTGCCCGCTTGAGTAGTTATCAAATAAACAAAATATATGGCATATGCTGACATTTCTATTTTATTTTAACCTAGTACAATTACAAAATGAGCTGCTATAACATATCTACATCATCTAACCATACTTAAAGTCTGGTGTACACTATCAAAGTTTCTGTGATCACAGTAGGAAAGTTTTGTAAGAAATGTTCGAAGGACTGAACTGAGTTAAAGAGTGAGTTAGTTTCCTCAAACATTTCTTACGAATTCTTCAAACATACGTATGCAAAATTCCTAGTGTGATCACAGAAACTTTGATAGTGTCAACCAGGCTTAACACAAAAACTAATGATGTCCTTTTAATATTCATTCAGCTATTTCATTAGTAACATATATAAATGGACTTAAACTCGTATAGGCGTAACTCTATAAAATACTTTGGTCATACAGTTATCTTACAAACAAATGGGTTTACCATAGCTTTCCTAACACGGAATAAGTTTTGGATTGATGTAGGAAACTTCCGCACAGCTCTGAGCAGTAACTTACAGTTTCATTGCTCGAGGATTAAACTTCACAGTGGTGTCATGAAATAGGCCCAAACAGGAATGGTTAATGATAAATTTTGAACTTTGAAAACCTGCCACTGTCAAATGAATGTAAACAGTTTGAAACTCATTCTGGTATACGCAAGGCATAAACAGATGGCCTCAATATTTTTGACGTCGTAAGGTGTCAAGGACCTGCTCATCAATAGGGCACTTTTAAGAGTCGTTCGTTTATGTTTTTATGCGCTGGGAAAATATTCAAGACATGTAAGTATGGCTTATTAGCTTTGTTTCTTTTAGGTAAGTACTCCTAGGCGTGATCTTGAAGTGTCTGTGTCTGTGTAGGTAATGTCAATAATATGAACAAGCTTTCGTTGGTAGGGACGCAACTACCTGAAAAATATAAGGAGAATTCATCCCTACCGACAAACGTTTACTTTCTAGGCACAACCTGTTGAAGGGAAGCTGGCTGTGAAATCATTAGAATAACAATACAAATCATTAGATAGCTTAAGATCTACGACGTTGACGTCAGCTAGGACGTCAGGGCTAAGCAGAGGACTGGGACTAGGATGTCGTCCTAAATAAATAGATAGCTCAATATCTACGACGTCAAATATTTAGGACGGCAAGCGGAAGTAAATTGGTAATAGTTTTTAAAGTGTAATATCAGAAGTGTAATGAATTCATGTGTCTCTTTAAAAATCATTTTCAAAAGAATGTAAATATTTATAGTTTAAATGTCGACGTCGTGGAAGTTTATTTATTTAGGACGACGTCCTAGTCCCAGTCCTCTGCTTAGCCTTGACGTCCTAGCTGACGTCGACGTCGTAGATCTTAAGCTATCTATTATCTATTATCTATTATCTACGTTAGTCAACGTTTATTCATAAATCTGGTCGTTCACCCTCACGTGTGTATTGTATTTTTGCCAAATCCACCAATAGGCAATTTCCAATTCACCCTATTGTTCGAGTCACGTATATGTAACTTTCCTAAAACATTGCTATTAGTTAGTTGGGCAAAAATACATGAATAAACGTTAACTAACATAGATGACGAGTTATATTGTTGTTGTTTGTGATGTTACTCTGAGTGTGCATCCACACCGGGCGAGCTGAAAAGTTTGCTTGGCCACGGTGGGAATCGAACCCGCGACCTTTGGAATACTAGTCCAATGCTCTGCCAACTGAGCTACGCGGTCAGGTCAGTTCGATTATATTGTTATTCTAATGAGTTTCACAGCCATCTTCAGTCTTCCCTTCGATAGGCTATGACCTAGCGAATCACGATTCTTGTTTTGCAGCAAAATTTTAAATTTTCGCACGACTTAACGTGTAAAAATAGGTACGCCAAACGTACATATCCGCGACTATACTGGATAGTTTTCCGCAGCGGCGGGAAAAAGCACCTATCCGATACGGAATGTATAACTTTCAGAAGCTGAGCGAAACAACATCTCTCCGTTGCAATAATTCCTCTGAAAATAGCGTTCCTAAAAGGTACGGATGGCTGTTTTTTCACGCCGCTACGGAAACATTAACGTCATGTTAGCTACCACGCTGGGTATGTTATTTCAGATGCTAGATAAAGCTTTTCTACTCAGGAATTGATCCAACCTCGCAAGCCAGGGTCTTGCGAGGTTGGAATTGATCCTGTGTTTAAATCAAAACAGATGGTCTTTCGAATGACATAATCTGTCACGTCATAGTCATAGTAGAATGTTTAGCGAACTTGTGTTGGTTTAATTATCCAGTCGTGATATTTATGTCACAATGGTTAATTAAATGAAAACATAGTTATTTGTTGCTTTAGCGAAAATACAATACACACGTGACGATGAACCGAGCATTTCTTGCATAAACAAAGACAAAACATAATGAGGTAGATCTACATCGAGTTCCCTAACCTTCTTCTATTAATCGAATAATCACTTGGTATTGAACATACCCAGGACCTGAGAAAGACTTTTACAGATCGTTCGTTTGCTTCATCAAGATCTACACTGTGGAATGCTCTTCTCTCACATATTACGAACTTAACCAATATCCACGTTTAAAAAAAAAAACAATTGAAGACACATTTTAATATTTAAGAAGGCTTTTAACTTGTGAGACTGATATTAGATTATGTTTTTACTGAGAGTGTAAATATTGATAACCTTTTTTATCGGCGCAGTAGAATATTTATAGTTAGAGCACTTTACAAGTCAATAAATTATGATTTAACAAATATAAAACATTTTCCATGTTGATATATACAGTTATATCAACGAGTGGAAATTTGGAAAACGAGAAATTGTGTGGAAATACGACGCCTGATGCGATGTTTAGCGAACTTGTGTTGGTTTAATTATCCAGTCGTGATATTTATGTCACAATGGTTAATTAAATAAAAACATAGTTATTTGTTGCTTTAGCGAAAATACAATACACACGTGACGATGAACCGAGCATTTCTTGCATAAACAAAGACAAAACATAATGAGGTATATTATGTCTGCATCAAGTTCCCCGACTTTCTTATTCTATTGCCTTTGGTCACGCGTGTGATGAACACGAAAGCAAGCCACAAGAATGAAGAGACTCGTATCTTTAATTGCTATAAGGACGTAGACAATTACATTGCCCTCATTTTTCCAATTACATGTAATCATCTATTTCTAATGTGATACTAATTTCAATGCATATAGATAAACCAATATTCAAATTCCTATAAACAGATGCTATCTCGAAACACTTCAGTAGAAAGATGGTAATAATCTATTCATAGAATTAGCAGTTTATAATCCTTTTCACTCACATATATAATTCAAATTGCTTGATTTTCCTTTGTTCCATTCTATGCTTTCATTGTCGAAACAACGACTCAGTATATAACTTTATTTCTCTGTGAATTTCAAGGACTTATTCTGAACTTAAAACCCCAAATTCTACTCCACATTTTTGGGGGAAAATTAAGTACAAAATTATCCCACTGAAGTTAAATAAACTTCTTGAATTCAAAAGTGAGTCATACCTGCATATAATTATGAACCGATGATATTAGAAACCTTCGCTAAACACTTCCCCAAACGACTTCCTCAATTCTTTCAGTATAAAATTCCGCTGAATAGGAAGAAATCTCGGGTGTAATTTGAAGCCTAGAGAAAAAATGTCAAAAATTGGAATGATATACATTAGGAGAAACCAAATATGACATTGCGATTAACCAGAAATTATGAGATGTATATGATCCGCGTGGACGACCTTTGGGCAAAGAAAAAATAGTGTGATAATTCTATGCACAAACGCGGAAACATATAACGACAGTCCGTCAGACAAACTATCTGTTTGTCTACCCGGACGATCTTTTGCGCATAGTTTACATAGACGGAAAAACTGTCTATGTTGTATGCGACATATTAGACGACGTATAAAGGCCGGCTTGTATACACTACACAACTTGCATACAAGCTGCTTACAACTTGAGTTGTACTGTGTAAATTGAGCACACAACCTTGTATTTTCAGGCAGTTTCACGATTTTCAATTTTTCATCCTTATCACTAGCACAGCCCGTTTAGACCGAGATCATATCAAGATAAATTAGCCAAGTGATACAAGAAAGAGTACGGCATAATAACAAATGATAACTCAACTTACACAACACAAGAACGATGTTTCATTCCAAGTTTAATGTTCTTAGAAAGAAAACAACCTTTTCGTCTTGTCTACAAGTTTTTTCGTCGACGCGACAGTTGTTAACATATTGAGTTGATCCTGTGGTTGCATGAAACGTGATCAGCTTAGGGAACTATTGTTGATATGGCTCGCATTTCACTTTTGCTAAAATGAAACCTTTCAACACCTACATGGAAATAGCACTCCAAAATTTAATAGCGTCCTAAACCAAGTAATTTGTCAAATAAAATTCAAGTGTTCAATAATTTGAGAATTTAATAAACTCGAAATCGCTATGAGAAATTTATGATCAAACTATAGGGGCGGCAAAATTCATAAATATTTTAAATTATTTGTTATGTTCTTAACTAGATCACATAACGCCGAGACATGATATGTTCAACAACATTCAAATGAGTCTACGTTGACGGACTCTGCTTTCCGTAGCTGCGCGAAAAAGCACCTATCCCATAGGGAATGTACAACTTTCAGAGGCTAAGCAAAACATGCAAATGTAGCAATTGCATTGGAAATCAATTTATAAGGATTGTGCATAGCAAGATCAATAGTTTAGGTAGCTTTTTAGGTTTTGCGGTGATGTTATATTCGTCGGTAGCAGGGGCGGATCCAGGGTTTTGGATGACAGGTTTACCAGGTCCACATAACCACTAGGGGGGTCCGGGGGCATGCACCCCCGGGAAATTTTTAAAATTCGGGCCTCTTAAACAGCATTTCCTGCGTTCTGGCGTCACCTTTTAAATTAATTTAATGGTTAGAAAATATATGTTTTTAAGAGAATTCTGGACTAATATACGCAGCTCAAACAATGCCATTGAACCTTTTCGGAAACTTATTAGCTGGTGATAAAAATATAGGATTGGCAAATTGCTGACGCATCGATATTTATTATCAGTACAAGTAGAGATAATATAAACATAGTTGTAATTTTAGATCTATACGCTTTCAAACCAACCGCTTTAACAATGAAATAGAAACCAAACTGCAAGAGCGTGAAAGCTTTACATGCAATTATTTCCTGATTCTCTATCGCAAACGCAATGATTCGGTCACGCAATATTATAAGAATTATACACATATTTCGCGCTATCATGAGTCAGTAGACTGTGTAGAAGTTACACGTATAAACATTGATACGCTTGTTGACGGATCGATATTTATTATACAGTAAGTAGAAATAGCTTACAGTTATAACTTTAGACAATATACTTTTAAACAAACCTTCAAAATGAACAAGAAATCCATGTAAATGCTTCTATCGCCAACGCAATTTTCAGTCACGCAAAATTATAAACATATTTCGCGCGTCCTCGAGTTCTGTTAACTTTCATTCCCAGTTTTCTCTAAATACTGCTCGACTCACAGGTTTATGACCGGTTTACATCCGTTGGAGCGCAGCCGTTTAACCAATCGAATGGCGTATCGACCGGTTTACTCTCATTGAGAAAACTCTGACCACCGGTTTACTGAGGGTCTCCCAGGGGGGGTACTTGTTCCCGTGTTCCCTTCAAAATTTTCGCTTTGTTCCCTTGTTCCCTTCCAAAATTTAATCATGCTCCCTTGTTCCCCTTTATAAATTAAATTTTGTTTCGTTATTCAGAAAATTTGACAGTTTATCCTCGCTATCATCCATTATATTAATACATACGTTCACTTTAACAAAATTAAACAGAAAAATACAATCACAAGCCTGCAGATGTTGCTCATTTGAAAAATACAACACTGAAGAAGATTATAATGTTTAATAGTTATTTGACTTCCTGGAAGTATTGACAGTATTACTATTACATAACAAAAAATAGATCTAATGAACAGCATTGCATTTATAGTTTCTTCAATTGTTCCAACCATTAAAGTACTAAAGTATCACGTTTACTAATCATAATATACAAAATCGTCAGTAGCCTATGTGGTGTCTTTCTTGCACGTCTTGGCTTCGTATCTGTTGCACTTTCTTGGTCGATATCCTGGCGCTCTCTTATTTCTCTCGCCTCTTCAATCGTCACAGCATCAACACATTCAATCATTCTCGACTGCTATCTTAGAAACTCATTCTCTGTCAGTTCAAGGTTGCTATCTCCTGCAAACGGTTTCCACTTGAGAACCAGGTATTTCTTTCGCATTGACCTTGACAACTCCTTCTGTAAATATAAGTGGATTGAAAGGGTCACCTTCAAAAATGGTGGCTCTTGCTTTCTTTGTTGAAACACTAACATTTTCTTGTAGATGGTAGATCATCATCCGCCCACAATTGGCGTACGAGGCAAGAAAAACAACGTCCCCAGTGGAATGAAGAATGTTGTGTGTGTGGCATGGTGTGTGTCTGTTTGGGTACCATTTTCTGTAATTTTCGAGAATTCCAAAGGCTCGCTAGCTGGCTGTGCCAGAGCATAGAGATTTATCGGCAGAGTACCCGGATTGTCTTTAGTGCTCATGTTACGCACGGTATTCTGTGGGACACTTTGACCATACTTCATGCGCCAGTCTCTCATTTGCTGCACTTGTACGTGACTTTGTCAACTGTGCTGCTGAAGGTGGGGCCATCTTTGGTAGAGTTGAATACTTCAAGTCAGATTTGACTTGAAGTATTCAAGTGCTCCTTCATTGCTCAACTGAAGTGAACGTCGAACTGCAACTGCATTGGCATATCACATGCCCTGCCCTCATCTCGGAGAAACAATTCTCGACTACCAGCGTCAAACGGCTTTAAGTTTGAACAACTTCAAAAGCTGTGGATCATACTTTTGAAGCAGACCTCGCATTTCTCCCAAAGATTCTTGTTTCGTCTTCCACAACGACTGAAGAAAAGTTTCCTTGCGGACCTTGGCTCTGGGCATTTGTTCTAAGGAAGACTTTGACTTGTTCTATGTATGCACTGACAATCGAAGTCATATACCTCTTCGATTCTGGTGATTGCTGCGTCGATTGTGAAAGGCGTTGCCGTTGGTATCTGCTTTTTCAGGTGCAAGCAAAATGTGACCGAGAAAAGTCATGATGGCTGCTCAAAAATCTGACTAGAGGAGAAACTTCATTTATCATCCTCAAGCAGCCCGTAGAACAGTCTACCACAAGTACACTAGCTGGTTGGACAAATTGGAGAAAACGATATATTATGCCCATTTTTCATCTACAATACATTATGCCATTGTACCACTTGTATATATTCTAGGAAAGGGGCTTTGTTCCCCTGTTCCCCAATATATTTCGTGTTCCCTTGTTCCCTAATTTTGTTTTCCTTTGTTCCCGTGTTCCCATTGTAAAATTTACAGTGTTCCCTTGTTCCCCCCAAACCCCTGGGAGACCCTCTTTACTCACAATTGCGGGCGGTTATGTGTGATTCATGCGATGTTTCAGTCCACGACCCACGACGATACATTAGCAGATTATTTGTCTAGTGTTACAACATTTCGTAAGAGGAAACCAACGCGATAAGTCCTTAATTAATTAAATGCTTATTATGTAAGTGAGTCTAAATACGCTCGGTAATCCAGAATCAAATTTCAATACGAGTATTTAAATGGCGTAATAGATTAGACAAGTAGACAACATCAAATTTATGAAACAGAATATTCTTTAAATTAGTTATATATGTACATGGAAGGTTACAGATTTTCTTTCTTTGGAAAATCTGACAGGTTTATATAAACCTATCAAACCTGTCTGAATCCGCCCCTGGGTAGTGCCGTTGACTAAGGCATTGTCCCCTTGTTCGAATAAGCCCGGATTGTACTCGTTCAAATAATTCATTGCCTTTTTCGCCTCCGAAATAGATATATACTCGCTCCTCGAATGCCAATGAATTCGCAGGCTCGGGGAACGAGAGTGCACTTTGCTTTTAAAAGACCATTTCCCACCACTGGGCGAGCGCCATGTAGTGCTTTGAGCTGCATCTTCGTCAACTTCTGTTAGTACCAGAGCCTTCAAGTCCTCTAACGGAGTCTGACCATATTAATTTGTTCTCCTTAATGTTAAAATTACTGTATAAGACATTCGCGATCGTTGAGGAATTCATACCTTTAGTATTATAAGTTTACTTCGCAAAGGAACGTCTGAATCAAGCACGTTTGTGGTTATCCCAGACTCCAACTAAATCTGAGATAACCGGTTATTGGTTGATTTAACCAATTTGGTTTTACAGAGTAGTATTCACTTACCCCCTTACTAATCTTCAATTTTTCTAAAAATTATATCTAGATATTAATGAATGTCTCCTTTCACCATGTCATACCAACGCGCAATGTACCAATACAGGTACATTGCTTGTGAGCAAAGTGCTTGTGGCAAATACTGTGACCACAGTTTCTGTCACCACAGTGGGGATTTTGCATCGGTAAAGTTTTGAAGGTTTGTAGAAATGTTTAACAACCAGTCAGTTCCCTCAAACATTCAATACAAATCCTTCAAAACTTAAAATTTACCCTTGCAAAATTCCTACTGTGATCACAGAAACTTTGATAGTGATTTAATAGTATAAAAAATTTTACAAGAAAAACTCAGTTAAAAAAAAAAACTGGTTTAACTATCAAATATATTAAAGGAAAAACAAGTTCATACATAACTTTATAAGCATTTTATTTGCTGTTTTATTAATTAGCAAAGTTTTAATTGCGACTAATTGACTATGAAGCATGATATATTAAAAAGCGATCTATTCTCTTACGTCGAATAAGCCATATGTGAAATGTGTAGATGGCTTGCGATAAATTTTTACGGTACGTATTTTTCTATATTTTATTTAACGAACAATTATTATTGCGATATTGTATGTATTACTCGACTATATTACTATATTACTATATTGCTAAATATTGCTACATTACTATATTGCTATATTACTATATTGCAATATTACTATATTACTGCATGATGGGTTTCAGTAAGTGTTGCAGAATAAATTTATAAACATAATTTATTTTACTCATCGAACACAATGAAAATAATTATTGGATGAAACTGATATCAAGAATTTTCAGACTGAGGTCAATGTTCACACTGTCACTGAAATTCAGCGAAGAAGAATAACATTGACCGAAGTCTGAACGATTCTTGATGTATGATATCATATATAAACCGAGTTCAATAACTGTTTTTATTATACATTCAAATTTCACCCGTCCCCCCTGATCCGAGAAGAAAACCAAGACGAAGGAAGCGCCTTTGCTTGAAGCGTCAAAGTTTTTGTATTTTCAGGCCGACAAGTTGTGAGTGACAACCTTGTAGCAACTTGATAACAACAACAGCATTGTTACAACTTATTGACAAGCTTGCTACAAGCCTGTTGCGAACACATCTTGTTGACAGACTTGCTACAAGCCTGTTGCGAACACATCTTGTTGACAAGTTGTGAGATTTTTACGTGAGTAGAGCAATGATAACAAGGCAAGCGAGTTCTCTAAACTTGTGAATTGGGTTTAAAAAACACTACATTTGTCTATCATATTAATTTTATCGATGTTACCTATGCTTCATGTAATCAACAATGTGAGATCTCAGGCTGGACCAAGGCCTCACATGATTGGCAAAGCGGGGACGTAGCTTTGCAAGGCGTTTCTTGGGTTGCCTGTAATTCGCTCTTGCGTAAGCACAAGCGAGCCACGTGATTTTCACGCTTTATTTTCTCCTCCAGTGATTTTGGAACATCCGGGACCAGCCAGGCGAGCAGATCTTTGACAAAAAATACGACATACTGGAAAAATAAGACGAAAAGTACGCGAGCCAGGGTGACGTGGAGATAGTGTTCACTGTAGTCGTAGGGAGGATACGGCTTCAGGTATTCTTTGAATCTGAAACAAAATAAATTTTGCGTTTAATTGTTCACAGAAGGCTACACACGTAAAAACGCACAGGTTGTTACAAGTCTGCAAACAAGTTACAAATCTGTTCACAAGCTGTCGACAAGTTGTGTTCGCACTGCTTATTATAACAAGTTTGGAACAAGCTGTCAACAACTTGCAACAAGCTTGATGACATTATCAGACTTGTCACAAGGTTGTTCTAACAAGTCTGATACAGTCATGATGAACAAGAATGTTACAAGGTTGACGACACAAGGTTGTAACAATACTGCTATATCATGACTGTATTGGACTTGCTGGAACAACCTTGCAACAAGCCTGATAATATCAACAAGCTTGTTACAAATTGTTAACAACTTGTTCCAAACTTGTTGACAACTTGGGACAAGCAGTGCGAACACAACTTGTTGACGGCTTGTAGGCAGACATGCTGCATAGATTTGCAACAACTTGTTTGCAGATTTGCAACAACTTGTTTGTCACGTGTGTACCAGCATTAGGGAACTTTAGATTTGACTACGAGTACGACTACGAGTACGAGATTCGTCAAGCTAAAACGCATGCTGTATGCTTACGCCATCCCGTACTGACGAGAAAAAGTCGCAGCCGTCGCCCATCTGAGTACGAACTTGTGGAGAAACCTCGTAGTCCTCACGACGACTTTTCAAAAACAACAAAGAAAGTTGGATTTTTTTTGTTTTCCAAAAATAATTTGTAGCATTTATATAGCGTTTATCCGGCGCAAATAATATATTAGTACTAAATATCTGGCCTGTTTTTAATGTTATGACTTATTTGCACGTTTTGTAGGGGATTTTAGTCAGCAGGAGATTTAGTTTATGAAACTTTTTCTCTCGCTGTTGATTTACGGTTATAAAAGCAACATTTGAATGGAAACGAGAACGACTACCGGTAACTTCCTCGCACGCGATCAAATCTCGTACTCGTAGTCGTACTCGTAGTCAAATCTAAAGCTCCCTATTACCTGCAATACGGCAACGTGTAATTAAGATGTTTATATGTATCACTGGGTACACTATGTTGTTCTAAGTCAGAGACATTTATGTACGCCAGCGAATTATTGACATATCCTTTCAATGTTCCGTCAGGACTGTAGCCATACATATACACCAATCTAAAAAATAAAATGAAGCGATTAAGATAGAAATGATTTACATTCATACCCCAATAAATCATATAGTTAATTACAAAATTATTACCACCATAATAGCTTTTTACCCACTGATGTTCATGAAATCCTACAAAGATTGATTTACTGGGGGGAGGGGGTGCACCCCCTAGTCCTGGCCAGATGGAGTGCTATTTTTCATGACAATGGAAAAAAATTGAAGACAAAATGAGATACAGTATTTTTTTGAGTAATAACATGATAAGTGAAATCTGAACAACAATTACAATTCAAGTACAGTAGTCAAGCAAGACTTTACAGTAGTCAAGCAAGACTTTGCAGTAGTCAAGCAAGACTTTGCAGTAGTCAAGCAAGACTTTGCAGTAGTCAAGCAAGACTTTGCAGTAGTCAAGCAAGACTTTGCAGTAGTCAAGCAAGACTTTGCAGTAGTCAAGCAAGACTTTGCAGTAGTCAAGCAAGACTTTACAGTAGTCAAGCAAGACTTTGCAGTAGTCAAGCAAGACTTTACAGTAGTCAAGCAAGACTTTGCAGTAGTCAAGCAAGACTTTACAGTAGTCAAGCAAGACTTTGCAGCAGTCAAGCAAGACTTTGCAGTAGTCAAGCAAGACTTTGCAGTAGTCAAGCAAGACTTTGCAGTAGTCAAGCAAGACTTTGCAGTAGTCAAGCAAGACTTTGCAGCAGTCAAGCAAGACTTTGCAGTAGTGAAGCAAGACTTTGCAGTAGTGAAGCAAGACTTTGCAGCAGTCAAGCAAGACTTTGCAGTAGTCAAGCAAGACTTTACAGTAGTCAAGCAAGACTTTGCAGTAGTCAAGCAAGACGTTACAGTAGTCAAGCAAGACTTTGCCGCAGTCAAGCAAGACTTTGCAGTAGTGAAGCAAGACTTTGCAGTAGTGAAGCAAGACTTTGCAGCAGTCAAGCAAGACTTGCAGTAGTCAAGCAAGACTTTGCAGCAGTCAAGCAAGTTGATGGGCGGGCGGCACGCACGACTGACAAAACTCGGCACCAGAGCTGGCAGAGCATCCCCTCCCCCTCCTACCAGATCATGCTGGGTCCATCTCTGAAATCCCATAAATAAATTGTCAAAAACTGGGGCAAGTGTACTTCCCATTGCAACACAATCAATTTGATCAAAATATTTAGTAAAGTTAATATATTTAATTAAATATTGGTTGTCTTGTATTAGTTCTTACATTATTAGGCGGTAGATCAGCTCTTACCTTGGTACAAAATCAGCTGTGAAAGCGATCACAAAGGAATTGACAAGCACAGAAATTTTGGTCACAATCTCAAGAATCCCGAACCATACTCCGATATTCTTCACTTCTTCTGCCACTGGGCGTCGAAAATTCACTGCAAAGTTCGTGGCATCGGCACGGAGCTCGAAAATGTTGTTTAACAAAGCAAACAGAGGAGCCAATGGGAACGACGCAACGAACATTGTAACAAAACCAAACTGAATAACTGTAAAAGAAATGAGACGTTCTCCTATTAATGGAATGAGCAATGGGATGGTAAAGGCACACGTTAAAAACGCGCAATTGTTACAGATTTGTAAACAAGTTGTAACAAGGCTGCTGTCACGCCGATATTAGGATGTGTTCGCACTGCTTGTTCCCAGTTGTTGTGACAAGTCTGGAAAGTCTTAAATTGTTCCAACACGACTAATACAGGCTGTTCGTAAGAAGTTGCTACGAGCTTGGTGTCATCAACTTGTTACGTGCAGACGATATCAGACTTGTTGGAACAACTTGTTGCGAGTCTGTTAACGTTGGCCTCATCAACCTTGCTACAAGATGATAACTTGTTCCAGACTTGTCTGCAACTGGGAACAAGCAGTGCGAACACATCTTGTCGACAATCTGGGAGATTTTCACGCGTGGTTATTACATGAACGTACCCATTTCAAGATATTCGTAAAACATTCTAAAATCTGGTTCAGGATTAAGTAAATAGTCAGACTCCCATTGTGGCAATGTCGTCTTATTTTCTTCGTCTTTTTTTTCTTTTCTGTGACGCCATTTGTTCCATGCGCGAACTGCAGACCTGGGAAAGAAGAAACACAGTTAATGCCTCTGGCTTTCAGATAGAACTTAAAGACAACTGCAAAACTTTAGGGACCGGTCATTATTTATTTATGGCGGGAGAGAAAAGGGTTGGATAAACAAAATTTTGAGTGGGTAAAAGGTTGAGTAAATAAAAAACAAAACTCAAGGGTTGGGTAATAAAAATTAATTGTCATTTCCAAAGCATGGCTCACTCAAATATTAAAGACTAAAAACAATGTCAACAGTTACATCTCAGTACAATATGTAAATCAATCAGAGTCACTATTTTGAAGCAAGTCGTCTCCAAAGAAAGTATATTTGCAGACAACATAAAAATTTAGACTGCATAAAATTGCACAAGCATTTTTTTTAAACTCATGTCACAGAAGTGGTAAGGCCATTTGTGACAACTGACGGTAT